AACTATGATGTTTGGGATCATACATTTTATGTTTGAGGGAAAAAAAGAGCTTTATAATCGGATATTTGAAAGTCGTGGCTCAATTAAAAGAGTTTAAGTTATTCTTTTGACAAAAAGTTTTATTGCAGACTTTCTGTGTATTGATTTCTTTTAAAAGTGATATAATGACTCAAAAAGGGGGGGAAGCAAATACATTAATTTCCATAATTGCCATATTCTGAATTCTTTTTTACAAAATAAGTGAAAACCTATCCATATGGTGCCTTATGACCTTGTCATGAGTTTTAAACTTGGTCTCTTCCAAGAACATTAAGGATAACAAGCAAATGTGGATTTCATGAGCTGCCTTTTTTGCATAGTGTTCCTATTACACTTTTCAAGTAATGTTGATGTAATTAGTTATGTATTTATTGGAATATGGAGCTTGCTTGTAGGGAAATAACTGTTACACTTTGATTTGTTATATTCTGATTAAAAGTGCTGTACATATGATTGCTTCCAGCTAGTAACTATGCTACAACATAGCTGAGGGGCAAATGATGCCCTCCATCCAAATATCCATACATCCTTGTAGTCTATACATAGTCATTAACTGCAAGATTTGTCAGAGTAGAACTTGTCTGAGTCAGAGAGATCTTTTTGGCAGAGTCAGTTTACTGAAATAATAGTCCAAATGCTGTTCACTTTTCAGAGTCTTTAGGTTTTCACTTAAAGGTTGTATTCCTTTTATAATCATGAACTCCCACCATGCTCTTACAGCTGATACCTCTCTGTAGCTAGTCTCTCGTAAGTAGGTACGGATGTCTCTTCAAATAACATCAAATACTAGCTGGAAACTGTTAGAGATGCTGTTACTTTTAAAAAAATAAATATTGAAATCTGGTAAGTAATCCATCCATCTATTAAGAACAGTAGATCACAAGTCTGAACAAAATCTGACATTCAGCATGTTGGTGAAAATGTTCAACCATAGTAACCATTGTGCGTTTTTCCTGTCTTCTAAAGTATTTCTGATAGTTTCAGAAAGTCAATAAGGGATAAAAGAGCAGTGCATATATGCATATCTGCAGGATTTCATGGCAGCAAGGGCAAATTGACATTAATGTGGAGAAAAGTCCAAATTTCTATGTTAGGTGACTAAGAAAACATGAGGGTAAAAAAAATAGTCTGCATTTCAGACCAATACTTGACAGATAAAATAGGAATCAGTAGGAATTTTAAATAGAAATATTACGATAAGAAGTCAGGAAACACCTTTGTTATGCTCACAGATATTTTGAATAGTGAGGAGGCAGGACAGAGGGATACTCCTGCGATGAAGATCAAGTCAGGACCTTCTGGCATGTCTAATGAAAAAGCAAATGCAAAGTACTGCAGCTGGGAAGGTATTACCTCTTACAATGACATAGGCTGGGATCAGGCTGTCTGAGGAGCAGCCCTGGGAAAAGGGTGCTGGGGGCCCTGGGAGCTGGGCAGGAGCCGTCAGTGAGACTTAGCGTCAGAGACAGCCAGTAGCATCCAGGGCTGTGGCCTCCACTGAACCCTCTCCAGTAGCTCCTTGTCTCTCTTGTACTGAGGAGCCCAGAACTGGACACAGTAAATGCTCAGGGCTGAAGTGTGGTTCTGTAAGCACAGATTGGGGAGGGGATGGAGAGGAGGCAGCCGGGCCCTTTACAGCCATGCATGGCAGGGCAGCAAGGTACAGCAGGCAGGAACTGAAATGAGAGGGGTTCACTGTGGGTGCTGAAACCTTTCCCATGAGGACAGGCAGGGCAGGGGCAGGCAGACAGAGAGGCTGCACAAGGAGGTTGGGCAGTCTCCATCCTGGGAATTACAAGACCTGGCTGGGCAAAGCTCTGAGCAACCTGGTCTGACCTCACAGCTGGCCCTGCTTGGAGTAGAGGTGCACAAGGGACCTCCTGAGGTCCCTTCCACTCTGAATTTCACAGTGATCTTAGGTTAAGTTTTGCGTCACTGGGACAGTACACTGCTTACATCTGACTAAAGCATCCTCTTATTATCCTATTTATAGAAAAGATTCTTTTCAGAAAGTCACCCATTTTACACAAAGTCCAAAATAAATGAACAGTAGTTTTTTGCTAGGATTTGCTGACTTCTCACGTAGTCTGTTAGAAGTTTGCCAACATACACAGTTACACTTTTTCTGTAGACTCACATTAGTCTGCTCCAAAAAGGAGCTGAAGATGCCTATATATAGGAAATTAGTTCAAGTACCTTTATATAATACAGATTATTTTGAAATAAAATATAGGCTTTTTTTCCACCCCTGAGACCAGTTAAATAAGGCACTATGAAATATATTTTCTCTATATAGTTTTCTGTTTAGAAACTAAAGGTGTGCATTTCTTACAATGACTGTAGAGCACATGGGATAACAGATTTCTGTCTAGATAGCTGTCCCAAAAGATACGCTGCATATATGTCCACTACTTATTTCTGCCAGTTTAGGATGATATTTTAGCTCAGTAGTATCTATCCACGATATTTTTTGGTTTTTCTTCCTAGAGATGCAAAGGAGAAAAGAGAACTATTTTTTTTTCCAAGAGTGCTCCATGAATGCCACAAAAAGGTATCAACGTACCTGTGAAACAAAAGGCTTCTACAAACAGAAATGCAAGAAAAAGTCTTTCTACTTGCTCATTCGCAAATGAATTGCAGATGTCAGGCAAATCAATAAATCTTTTGGATATCAAGAAAAATAAGGATCCCAGCCACTTCCCCCGAGATTCTTTATGTAAAAGGTGGCACAATAATTATGTAGGTGGATTATGATCTATAGGCAAGTGCACTGACTATTAACATCTAAAAGTGACATTTCCTTTTCAGACAAATTTAAAATGAGCTGCAAAGATGCATTTTGCAATCAACTTGCTTGTAAAAAAACTAAATCAGGCATGCTCTTATAATTGTACTGTATGCATTTTCCAGCTCAGACTCTGGCTCTACCTCCTCTCCCAAGTCAATTACTGTGGGTAGAGCTGGCCTAATTTTTTAAATGCATAGCACATTTGCCTAAAGATGCATTTTATGAAACAATGCCAGTGAAACAATCCAATCAGATCTGGCAAAAAATAATGATCAGGGAATGAGGGCAAGAAAGGGAGGAAAAAAAACCAGAACACCCAAAACAACCAAATATTGAAATGTTTATTCTAACAGCTTGAAAATTAGCTTTTTGACTTTTTAAGATAGTTTTTTTGTTAGACAAGGAAATCTTAAGAAGGATTAGAGTTAGATAACTGAAATCTAAACCAAAATAAGAAAGCCCTTTTGAAAGAAGTGAAACATATTGAGTTAACCAGGATGAATTTATAGTTTTCATTTCATTAATTAATTTTTTAAATGTTGGCACTTTGTAAATGAGGTGGGTTTTTTTCCAGTTCAGGCATAAAAATGAAAAATTAACCACACAACTTTGGCTTGGAAAAATCTGCAGGTAAAGTATCCATTACCTGGTGAAAAAATGTTTTTCCTTCTCCTTGAAAAATGTTCATGTGCTCAAGATTTGTAAGAATATATTATATCTTTGGGAGAGCTGAGGATGTTATTGGAATGAATGAATGCTGTAATGTTGGTTTTAATAGGTAGTCTTTTGACCTCCGTTGGTTCCTGTCGTCATTATGACAAAGCTTAAATAAATACAACTAAAATCAAGGAATAACTCTTTGAGAGCTGTCATAGAAGAGAAACTTCCATTTTAGAGTGTTACGGGAGGACCTCTGCACCCAGGTCAGCCATAATACGTCAGCCCAACACCTAAGGCCAGCTCTCAGAGGGGATGGAAAGAGTTTGGAAAACTGAAACAGAGCATTGAATTCAGCTTTGTCTTCCGTGAATCAAACCTGACTATCACAAGGAAAGAATATGCATATATGTTCCATACAAAAAAAAAAAAATAAAATAGCCAGGGATATGAGTATTGCAGTGAGGGGTCCCTCTTACTATCTCCATCCCTTCACAGTCTTGCCTTCCGGCTCTGAACCTGTTTTAGGCCCCTGAACTCCAGTGGGGAGTTCAGCACCAAGCACCACTCAGGCATAGCCTGTGGCAGAGCCCTGTTTCTTGTGGTGCACTAGGCTGACAAAGCCAGGCAACCTCAGAGCCAGCTCCAGGCACTTTGCTGTGAGCTGTTCTGCTTTGTGTGGATGTGCAATCAGTCAGAGGGGGAAGAAGAAAAAGGTTTTGTTTTGTCCTTTTCTTTGAACAAATGCGTGTGCATCATACAGAGCTTAGGAATTCCTACAGGATCAGACCTCCTCTGATGTCTTGAAGAAATTTAACTAAAAGGCTCTGACATGAAAACCTGTAACTTTATAGAAAATGACAACTGATGGCTGGGAAGCCCCGAGGCTGGGTAAATAATGGCCATGGGGAAGCTGTGCTGGGAGGAATATTGCTACGTATGGTTTCATCTCAAAAGCCATTTTATTTCGTGTGCGAGGAGATAAAAGAAAAAAATAACCCCATGTTATATCTGTTGCTCATATCACCTAATGCAGTGATGAAAGGTGTTGCGGTGATGACAGTTGTGTGTAAACTCCTGTGAATATAATATAATAGAATCTAAAATAGAGACAATACAAACACTTGCTGAGTTTTATCCACTAATATTTGTGTGGAAAGAAAGAATATAAATGAAATTTTGTAATGATATTCACTTCCATAAGCTCTAAAAGGCTACAAATGGAACACTAGCAAAAAACATAACAAAACGAAACAGAACAAAAAAACCACCCTGCAAAAATCACTGACTTAAACCTTCCACAATCATCACTGGACTTGTGAATTTAGTGCTTAATTAAATTAATTTTATTTTTTTCTACTTACATGTGAAAGCCACTAGTTAACAGGATGCTGACAAGCATTTTCTCTGTTTGTATCAGGTGCTGAAACTAATCTGAACTTGAGAAGCAGGGAAGATCCAAATACATCAGATACTGGATCAGAAACGCAGGATAAAAATGCAAATAACCATGGAACCCAGTCATCTAATCCACTGTCCAGCTTGGTGACTACTGAAAATGGAAATTCAGTATCAAATGGTAAGCAGTTTTTAATCCCGAAGCTCTTCTAACATAAAATTGCTGAAATGTTTGCTTGAATGAGCTTTTTAAGATATACTCAGGCTGGAATCTTCTGAGTTGTGAAATATCTGTGTTTCTGAAACCGGCTTAACTTGGTATGTGTGAACTGATAAGCCCCTCTCCAATAAAAGCTGAATGTGAAGAAAGTAAAACAGCTTGTGTTGAGGAATTTGTAATTAGTTCAGCTCCAAGGCATGGAGTCCAGCCTAAGGCATGGAGGACTTAGATTTGAGATTCTGATCCTATAATCAATATAAATGGGATAGAAAATAGAAAATGAGGATCTCCCTTTGTTATAGGTGCCTTACTAGTGAATGATAAAGTGTTTATCATTGCAATACAAAATGGTGCAAGAGTAGTGACAGAAAGAATGAAATCTTTCAAGGTCTTATAAGCATAAATCCTAAGGAAATAACACTCCTGTGAGTTCAGATTTTTAATAAAAAATTAAATTTTTTCTTTTTTTATAACATATTGCTCTTCTTTTTTAGTTTATTTTTAGTATTAGGAGTAACACTTTTCTACAGCTCTGTACTATCAAACTATGACTTTTCCACCACAAATCTTCCATGCTTATCAGAGTTCTTAGTCTGAAAGAAAGAGCATTTGCCATTTCTTGTACAAACACATAAAGTAAATAGAAAGCCTGTAATAACCTTTGGCGTTGTAATGCTGAAAGTTGTGATCCTACGTCATCCAAAACAACAGATCCTTTTGTGGGAGACTCTCAAAACACTGCAGGTAAAAGTTACTGAAATTTGTTATCATTTTCAACTAGCACCTAATAGGATATAGAGAAATGTTTAATCATTAATTTAAAACTTTAAATTTGATAACTATAGTAAGTGACTGAGATGACCTAACTCTTGGTTAGCAAAGGGGAAATATTACCCAGCTATCTGACAGTTCTGTATGCCCAGTGGAGTGTGTTGTAGAGGTGCTTACTCTGTGTAACCCAAGTGAAAATCAGAGTAGTTATTACATAGATAAGACACGCACTTTGCACTGTGCTCTTCATGCAGCTCTTGGCACTTTACTGTCCCTTGAAGGAAGCCTCCCTGGTTATTCCTCTTCATTTACATCTGAAGTCCACTGCTTGTGTATGGAGATCCATGTGAATGGACTCCTGTATAGTTTATGCAGATTGGCATCAGAGTGACTGTAAGAGCCTATCTGTTTCACCAAAACCCCCAAACATTATTCAGGTAAGGGGATTAGTCCTGTCTAATTCCAGCTGTCAAGAAGGCAGCCATTCTGCCTGAACAGGTCACCTGTGGGCTGCAGTCTGCTGCACAGCCTCTTGAAACTTGCTACCAGATCTAAGCTCATCAGGCAAGAAGCCATGGAATGGGAGAGGTATCCTAGCAGACCTGACATCATAACCTGACAGCAAAGAGGCTGTCACAGGCTACATGCTACTGAGAACAGAGCCCTACATCTCGCCTTTTCCTGGTGATGCCTGTTTCACAGGCATATATCTGCCATATATCATCTACATATATGTCTGCCAGTGTATCAAGTGGAGCTGATCAGTAAATGCAGCCTGTGTGTGAATGCAGAAACATGAAGGTTTGAGGATTGATGAATGACCATGGTTGCAAAGACCCAGAGACTCTGTGGTGGTGTTGTTTTTTCCAAATATGGATGTTGGAGGCCAGGAGGTGCAGTGTCTCCAATTGCATGGTAGCAGAGCCTATGAAACTGGAGGTTCTCTGGAGCCACAGAACCACGTCTGTGGTCCAGTGATTTAGATCTCAATATTTGAGATGCAATTTATTTATCTGTACAATTCTAAGAGGAGTATCTGAGAATAGGAAAGAAATGGGGAACAGAAAGTACAGGAAGAAGATCAGAGATTTGGTGTGGGATCTCTCTTTGAAGCTATATAGAAAAGGCATTGCAGGGAATAAGTGGGTGAAGGATTGGGTTTCTAGTTTGAATGCCTAGGACAAGGCTGCTTTCTTGATTATGTGGAAAAATGGCATGTGTTTCTTTCTTTTCATTTCTACAGTTAGAGGTTATTGATTGACTCATATTCCTTACTGTCATTTTCACCACCACATATAATTGCAGCAATAATGTATAGCAAGCATGATTTTGCCAAAAAAATGCCAAATTAGGCTTATTTTTGGTAATCTGAGAATAGTTGCAGGAAAGCTGAATCCAAATGTTGTAGTTTGTGCTCAGACTGAACCCCTGATTAACTTAGGTTCTTGTAATTCTGCCCCTGGCCCTGCTAAACTGATGATTTCAACCTTGGGCTGAATTAAGCAAGGTCTTATTCAATGCACAGCTGTGGTATCCTAATATTTACTTAGGTGTACATAAAGGAAAGCTCTTGGAATGTAATCAACTACTTCATTTATCTTTCCAAACTCTACCAAGCCTTTGCTTACCATGTCTGTGACAATGTGCTGTTGCTGTACATGGAAACTTTACTTATTTGATAAGACCTCTTATCACACTGCTTTTTACAGAAATAAACATAAAGTCATTGATAACTTGATTCTTAGCTCAAGGCTGTCATGGATCGTAGATCCTAAAATGTATTAATATAGTGTAAAAGCAATAACTTTTTCATAACATGCGGCCTGGCCTAGGAAAGTATTTTTATTCATTTCTAGTGCTCTAAAATTGTGCAAATATTTTACATTCTACCTTTTATTTGAATTAAATGAATAACACCTTCCCACCCCAGCCAGCAATGACCCTCACTCTAAAGATCACTGTGCAGAGGTGTTTGTTTCTCTTGACTACAAAGGGAGACTACCTGGCTCTTTTACACTGGACAACTGGTTTTTACACAGCTAAATTTTGGGCAGCTAATTCCCACATCAAGAGTGCACAATAAGTACAAGAATTACAAAAAAAAAAGTTCTGTACTGAGGAGATGAAGTTTTAAGTCCTGGACCTAATATTGACTTCCTGTGTGACATAGAGATATTATTTGAGAGCAGACCACAGGCTTGGTTTTTGTTCCCTTTGCATTATTTCTGCAATGAAAAGGAGCCAGGGAAAGAGGAGCCAGGGATTTCCATATTGCAGAAGGAATCCCTGGCCAGTGTATAGGTAATGTGTTATTTGTAGACTCTTCCTTGCTCCTTCTTGTAAACCAGCATGCCAGGATGCTATTCATTCTTAGTAAACAATAATCGTTCCAGTTTCAGTAAGCATGGAAATAGTAAATATCCAGGCAAATGTGTAACTTCTTTTTGTTCTTTCCTTAGTAAAACATGTCAAGGTCTTTTGAATCTTATACTGAAATCAGCCTATGCAGAAATCTCAGGTTATAAATGAGTATTCTTCTGTTTTAGGTTTACCAGAGGAAAATGAATATTCAAGACTGTCTGCCAGCACTACAGCAGGCTCATCAATTCACAGACACAGGGAGAGCCACACTAGTCAGGTAAATATTTAATTGATGGTTTCTAGAACCAGTTAAAAGAATCATAGTAGCTGCATGTTGAAAGCTATCTTGATTCAAATTTGGGTGTTGGCATTGAAAAATGCAGATTTCTTTTACAGGTTTGTATTGAGCTAAGGACAATAATCAATTTACTGTTAACTGTTTTTTGCCGGAAGAGTGATCATCCTGAGAGGTTCTCATAGTAGAGTTCAAAGTTTATGAAACATACTGTTGCTGTTTGTGAGGATGTTGTTTTTAGGCAGGAAATATGTCTCTTCACCCTGAGAGGACAAAGATGTTATCTGTCTCAAGATATTCATTCATACCAGAAATAGTTGCACGATAATGAACCTCATAGGAATAAATGCATAATTATGTCATCCTTTTGTATACAAAAGCAATGAAGACTTTAAAAATAGTCTTTACAATTTTTATATAAATATCAATAATTAATAAAATCAAAATATCTATCAATTAAAACAGCAGTAAGTACTAATGTAGTTTGAAGCTTGCACTGGTTCTCTTAAAATTTCTATTTAGTTCATGCAATTTTAAAATTACAACATAGAATTAAGTTTGATGGGTATTAAGTGAACAAAAAGGAATAAAATTTGCCATAATATATTCTCTTCATTCTTTTCTTCAGCATCTTATATATAATGTGAACCATTTTACTTTCAAAGTAGTCAATTCATGCATGAAGGCATTCATGTATTATATTATTTCACTTAAATGGCATTAGTGTATTCTCCTGTTGTCATTATGTCTTCAGTCCACTTTTCTAAAAAGGTAGTCCCAAGCAATTTTTTTTTATTTGAGATGACTGTAAGAAGTTTACAGTAAAGCTAAATATTGTCCAAAGAGGAAACAAATTGGAGCTGAGATGCCTTTTCACAACAGAAACCTGTCATTAAATAATTGTACAATTTCCAAACTATTTTACCAGAAGGTAGGGAAAGTGCTTTATCACATTTAAAAGCTACTTGTTCTCTATAGGGGATAGCTGACATTTCTTAACAACAAAATACTGGCCCTAATCAAGTTAAACAAATATTTGGTCATTGACTCCAGAAGGAGTGAGATTCAACCTTCAAAATTATACTCGGTCTTAATTTAAATTTGAAAAACAATAGATTTCAACTCAGTAAATTTGTGAGCAAACTAGTACAAAAGTTTTCACTTTTTGTTTCTCTTCCCTGCTGTCAAAAGCACGTAACTACAGCGCCTATTCTGAGTTGAAAGGCTGTGCCAAGACAGCACTCAGCACTACACTTAATCTCTTCAGACACATAAGTAAGGCCAGCCAGAGTTGCCCTGGCATACATAGAAACTTATCCAGCTTGCACACAGTAACAAATTTTTTTCCATCACCATACCTCTCAGACTCTCAAAAATGGATTTTGGCTGTGTTGTGAAAAAATACTTACAGGTCTGCTGTCTCCAGATTAGTATACTGGATGAGGATATGGGATTATGAAGATGACTAGAGGCAGTGTATTCAGCTGGCTCTATTACATTTTTAATGATCAACCAAATACTTATTAGGTATGAGAGTGGCCAAAGAGCCCTTTCTAGCAAATGAAAGGGCTGACACTGCTGCAGTTTTAAACCTCACACAGTGAGATGCTTTTGTCCTGAAGCACCTTACAACTCTGTTGCTAATCAGCTTGCCTGGGATCGAGAAGGATCATGTTTAAATTACTAAATCAGTGCAGTACAAGGAGAGTTAGATGAACTAGGTATAGGGGAGCCATTATTTTCTTCTTATCTCTGCAGATAGAAACTGTGAAGTTCGTAATAAGCACTAATTAGTAACTTAAGAATTTTTAGAATCTTTAGTAATTTAAATGTTTTATTTTAGAAGCAAGTTGTTAACCATTTACAAACTTGTATTTTTTATTTTTCCAAAAGTACTTGCCAAAACCTGAATACAATTTCATTTTAGTATTTTGAAATGCCACTTTTCAGTAAATAGGTGTTTTGCCAAAATATTTCACAGATTTTTAAAATACATTCCATGCAATGCACTCAGAATTACACGCAGAGACAATCCTTAAATGCAATCTCAGAAAGAACTGTGACAAGTTTAGAGAAGAAATCTGCAGTTCTGTGATTTTTGATGCAATTGGTTTAATGAATAAACATCTTCCAAAATGGTGTTGCCAAAAGAAAAAAATCTTCTTTCCATAAAAAGAAAAAAAAAAAAATCTTAAAAAAGTCTGTGCTCACAGGGCTGAGAATTCTTACTGTGAAAAGCTTTCCTCACCATTTCCAAAACATGGCATATATTTGAAAATGATTGGGTTTAATTACAGTTGACATTTCTTAGCATGCTGCTAGTGACTCTAACAGCATACAAGCCTATTGTAAAAGTCTTTGCCAGGTTTCAGTGCAGTAACCTTATCACTTTAAGTAATTCTTGCACAGTTGTATGAAATGGGACATATTATTTCACAGATCTGTAAAGGTACTGATTGACTAATTGCTCCAAAGAGACAAACTTAGACTGGGTCCTTGGATTTCTTGGCAGACACTGTCACTTTAGCTAAAGGAAACTGGTCCATTAGCTTTCAGGGGCTTCAGTATTTATGGGGTTTTTTTAATATCTCCCTGCTAGTTCTTTGCTGAAGTGACAGGAAATATTTTCATTTTTGTCACAGGATCTCAAGGCTCATATACATTCAACTAAAGTTTAGGCATTGTGGCTTACAGTACCATCATGTTGTCACATCAGGTGTTAATTACTTGCATCACTGCCTGATACGTCCTGCACACTGCAAACCTACACACTTCAGAGATAAATTCTTCAGCTCGATATCTGTCAAATGCAGCAGAAGGATCAATCTTTTAACAAACACTTTTGAAAGTAATTTTGAAAGTAATTTCAAAATATCCTGCAGATGTGAACTCAGAATCTTA